ATAAGCGCTGACTGAAGACTTCACCCCCGTCTTTGAACAGTGCGGGTGGAAGGTCATCCCGACCGGGAGCTCGGTGGCGCTTGAGAGAACATATGCAGTCATAAACCTCCGAGGCCGTAGGTGGTTCGACGTTCACTGTCCAGGGTTCTACTTCACCTGTGGGCCCTAGATGAATGTCGGCTGGGGGCCACGACCGTTGTTGTTCGAAGTATTCGGCCCACCGGTCGAGGGGTTTTTCTTTGTTCGAGATGGTCCTTCCAATCTGATGTTTGATGCTTTCACTCACAGGTCGTTTCCGGGAACTGGTTGCACGGATTAACTGAAATAATCTCCGGGCATTACCGACTTTTTGGGCCTCTTCCACTTCCTTGGTTTTCTGTGTCCACCATACTTCACGGTCAAATCGCATGCACACTTTCACTTGGCGTTTGATAGCTCTTCGCACCGGGTTATGTTCTTACTTACTTTTGACTACTTGATAGAATCAGCTGAAATAGGGCGCGACTGTTGCCCGCAGCGAGAGTCTTCTTCACCTCCCGAGCCTTCCAAATCGATCGTCGTTCCCTGTGACTCTTCAAGCTCCTGATTAGTCGGTGTCTTGGGGATCTGCGTGCGCCATCACAGTCGCTAGTTGCTGGTATGGTCTTTCTGTCAGCAATGAAATCTGCCGATCTTGACGACAACCTGTGTTTATTTAGTCGAGTCAGATGGCTTGGAGAAACATTTCTTGCGGCTGAGAGCAACGATGGCAGTTGCGGTATTCACGTGACATCAGTTTGACTGTCAAGAGTAGAGTATATAATATCGCGGCCGGGTCATGGCCACTGCGTGTGGAAAAAACTTCGAGGGCTCATCGGTGCCTACGAAGTACTGCGCGAGTATGGTGGGGACACCAGATCAGTATACCGGTGAAGTAAGTTAGACGGTTTTTGAGGAATTCTATTCCCCCTCGATAGATCACCTGACCACACTTCACAGTTTGTGATAGTTAGGCCAGAGCACCGCTTGCCCACTTCGCCCAGCCTTGTGTCGGATGGCATGAACCGTAGGCGGTCAACCCATGGTCTTAGAACGATGCATGAAAACTCTTATCCGTCATTTCAGTAGCATTGGTAAATTCCGTTTTCCCGAATGAGAAACAGGGGACTAAGAAAGCCAGTGGCCAGTGACTCTGACAGATAGCGCTGTGAAACGGAGGGAAGCAGTTCTAAATCCATCAGCACACCAGACTTGCAACATTATTGTTGTTTCAGGTGCGCACAATTGGACAATTGAGTACCACACTGCACGCGGAAGGTCATCTGGTGCCACGCGCCACTAAGGATACACACATATGACTAGCCAGTGCTAACCATCATTCAGCTATGTCTGATAGTCACGGACAGTCACCCTCACCACTATCATCATCGTCAGAATCGACAGCAGTACACCAGTAATACATACTGATACCCGAAGATCACACAACTATGAGGCAAGAATGGTAGGAAAGGGGAGGAGAGCGACTTTGTCTGAAGAAAACCCATGCCGACAGGGGAACGGTCAAGAATAAGTTGTTCAGACGTTTGGGCACCATCAAAACAAACATTTGAACATCATGTCGGATTAGGACACTCAACAGGATTGACTTCGTCCTTTGCGAACTTCACGCGACAAAAGCCCAACGCGGAACGACAGAATTTTAGTTAGACAGTCCTGCTAGAAAACGACACTGTGCGCGCCATTAAGGTCGGCTGCGTGTTATATCCTGCTGAGCTTCCAGCCACGTGCAAGTAGAGTCACGTGGACACCAGCCAGGAGGGTCAAAGATCCCACAGCGCTGAATTTAACTGATGACACCCCACTTCATGTTCCTACATCCCGAACTGTCCTCCACCTAACTTTCGAAACCGTCACCTAGAAAACAAAACATGACCTTGGATGGATAACGGTTGAGAAAATGTAGCACGGTTATCCTAATTTGATAGGTATATCGTCATCAT